GTGTCTGACACTGAGACCAACCATATGCAACGAGTCCGACGCGCGTTACTTTGGTTTCCAGCGTCTTGCTAAAGATGGCGTGATTTTGAAAGTTGGAACACATTAGCTTTAGCAATACAGAATCCTTTAAACCACAAATGAAACCAAATACTGAAGATTGGGTGTAAAAGTTCATATTTTTCAGAGATTTTCCATCATCTGTGGTGTTTACGGCCCTGCAGCCACAGTCACATGATTATTAATTATTATTTGGTTGAGAACCTGATGAATTCATTAAAAACAGACGTGTGGACCAATCAAAAAAGAAACTTTACAATAAGCTATTAAGCATGCGATAATAAACATACACTTTTAATATAAGGCACTTTTTTATGGCAGACTTTACCGTTATCATATTTAAATTATTATAGCATTTAATCTAAGCGTTTGTGAGGAAAGAAGAGCATATTAGCATGAGAACCTGTTTAGCATCTGTACACCAATCATGACAACGATTGTATCATTCTGCCTTTCGGCTGTTTATTTGTGGTTTATGTTTTTGTTGATACCAAATATGATATTTCATTTGAACTGAACGTAAAACATCTGAATCTGTGTCAATGTGAAGAACGGTTCAAACACTACTGCATTAAATAACAATATTCCCTTTTACTTTGATGAATGCAAGAGTTTGCACATATTTATCTAGTACATATTTGTTGTTCATTTTATTATTAATATTAGTGTCTCTATAGATTCTGTGTATATGAGTCTTTTCAGCGCCACATATGGGTGAATCTCACACATCCAGATCAAATTTGACCCCGATATCAACAAAAAAAGGAGAACAAAAATATTATATTGGCATAGAGACAACAAAGCTAATTTTTAGGACCATAGGAATATCAATGAGATATTAGATAATCATAACTGTAATTTATTTATATTTTAATTTATCATAAATAAAAGCTAATACAGGTAATGCTGCAACAGAATCAATATAAATAGGTTTCATTTTTTAACTTTCAGTGCAAATTATTTCAGGGAAAATTGTTTATTAAAATTCCTTAATGTAAAATAAAGCTGCTTTTATTTTGTAATGTGTTGAGATTCTCCCTCACATGGCGGTAGTGTTTGTGTTTGTACGGTTGTGTTGAGAAATCGAACTGTCGCTGACACACATTATTCATTTATTTTTAGTTGATTTGGTCGTTTGTTTGTTTGTAATCCAGGAGAATTTGAGTGTAATTCACTAAACCCGGCTTCATGTCCTGATGTTCAGTCATTAATGCAGCTTATATAACAACATGATTGTGTTTCACTCTATTATGGACAACGTTGTTATGTTGCAGAACACTGTTATGTTCATGTATGTTTATGACACTCCTCTGATGATAATCGTCCTGCTGAGATGGGTTTGTGTGTGTGTAACGTGTCCTGTCGTGTGTGTGTTTCTCTTGATGACCTGTGCACTTTAACGGCACCCGAACACTACGAGATAACCGGGTCCATTTTGAGCCCGATTCTCCAAATCTTATGGAGCGAATTATGTGCCATAATTAAACAAACAAATCCAGCATTTTGCAAACAAACTCGATCTGCTTTGCAAAGGAAAACTCGACTCGCAAACAAACAGAAAGCAATTTGCAAAAACAAAGGTCAATTTGAGCGAAAACGCAGTGGAATAACCACTTTTGTGTTTTACAAATATAAATAATTGAGCCTAGATAATAGGCTATTTCACAAATAAATACAAACCATCCTACAAATTGCATGTAACCTATCTAGTGATACAAATACCAAATCTAGTGCATACAAATGTTACGATTGTGAGATCTCTCGGCTCGATTTTCTCACAAATGTGTCCAGGCAGAGTTTCTCACGTGGTGCGTCTCATTTCTGAGCGTACGTCTCATTTGTTTGTTTAATTATGGCACATAATTCGCTCCATAAAATCTTCCAACAGTCCTATAGGAAAAGTCCCGATTATCTTGCTCATAATTCATCTGATCAGATTTCCCTGTGGTGTGAAGTGTGTATTAAGAGTTTTTGAATCTGCCGCTCGACATGTTTGTTTGTATTCTTAAGTCACGTTTGACCTCGAGATATTTTGCGAGATTTCCCGTGTTCACACTCCAATTATTATATATTATTCTAAATCTTTATATTTGAAAGCCGATAACCGATATATCGGCCGATTAATCTAAATCCACATTTTTGTATAGATTTAGATTTATCGGCCGATATATCGGTTATCATGCTCTCAATTATTATATTTTATTCTAAATCTTTATATTTGAAAGCCGATAACCGATATATCGGCCGATTAATCTAAATCCACATTTTTGTATATATTTAGATTTATCGACCGATATATCGGTTATCATGCTCTCAATTATATATTATTCTAAATCTTTATATTTGAAAGCCGATAACCAATATATCGGCTGATAAATCTAAATCCACATTTTTATATAATTTTTGAGAGCCTGATTACAAAAACAAAACTCTCAGCATTAAAAGCCGTGTCCCAAGCACACAATTATAATGATGTTCTGATTATAATTTTATGTAGCCGATATGACAGACTTGCACTGAAGTGTTTCATATTTCGAGCAATTCAAAAACCATCATGTTGAACGGTGCGCATCTGAAGGAAATGATCCATTATTTATCGGCTTTAATATATCGGCCTAATTTCTTATCGGGCCGATAACGATAACATTAAAAATGATCATACATCTATCTACCAACATGGCGGCCGATATATCGTGCGTCCCTATCTAAAGCATAAGTCACCTAATATCATATTAACTTATTGTTTATTGAATCATTGTATAAAATCACATTTGCAAACGCGCGCTGATGTTCGTGAAAACAGCACTTTTGCCCGTGCGATATTGCTTATGAAAATTAAAAACAATAACTTTTTTTTTTTGCACCATATCTTGATTTTTGAAAGCATTTTTATTAATCATGGTGCGATTTGTCGACTTTTCGAGCGCAAGCGAACACAGCAAATGCCACTACTGATCTATCGTCATGTTTGTGGAAATCTGATCATATTTTAAACATCTTTAAGTGTTGGCCGGCCTTTATTCTGTCTCTCTTTAAGTCTATTTACAGGGATTTGAGGCCAAGCGCACTCATGCCACCATCTTCAGACACAGAGAGCGCAGAACAGGCCAAACACACACACACATCCACGTGAACTAGTGTGATTATTAAACAGGCTTTAGTTTGCAATCATGAAGGACATCCTGTGTATGTATATATTTTTTTAACCTTTTTGAGTTTTAATTTATTTTGCTAATTCGTTTACACTGGATTGCTATTTGTCTCCTCCCTGATTTTGCTGTACATACGGAAGTCTTTACTCCCGGCATCCCTATAGCCGACTCTATGCAGAAACGCATTTCCTTGGCATGCTTTGAAATGCAGAAAATAATAATAAAAAAGAAAAACTAGAGGAAAATACATACGTTTGACCTTTTTTCCTTTTCATTTTTAAAGAAACGTGTGAATAACTCTGTTAATAATGATGTAAGTATATCAATGATATATATATATAAAGGCAGATGTCATGTAATCTGCATGCTGCCCTGAGTCTTCAGTTGTAGAGGACGAGTGATCTTCTTCATCTGGACATGTGACTGAACTGATGTGACATCACTGACGGCCTGAGGAGATCCCACACACTTCAGAAAGTCCAGATTTTGTGCTAGCATTATAAACGGTTGACTTTATAAAATTTAGAAATATTTATTTCAATAAACTTCTTTGAAAACGGCTGAAATGACTACCTTTCTTTATTATAAATGTGTGTGTGTGTGTGTATACAGTACTGTTTATTTTCACCAATATGCATTTATTTGATAAAAAACACAGAAAAAATCAGTAATGTGAAATATTATTGCAATGTAAATCAGCTGTTTTCTATGTGAATATACAGTAAAGTGTAATTTATTCCTGTGATCATTTCAGCATCATTACTCCAGTCTTCAGTGTCACATGATCCTTCAGAAATCACTCTAATATGATGATTTATTATCAATGTGGAAACATTTTTTTATAACGTGATAATTTTTTTCAGGATTCTTTGAATGAATGAAAAGTAAAAAAAAAAAAAAGCATTTATAAGAAATACAATTTATTTGAAAGAAATTAATACTTTTATTCAGCAAGGATGTGTAAAATTGATACAAAGTGATAGTAAAGATTTATATTGTTAGAGAAGTTTCTATTTTGAATAAATTCTGTTTATAACTCTCTTTTTAACTGAATTCATTAATGAATCCTGGAAAAAGTATCACAGTTATATAAAATTATTAAGCAGCACATCTGTTTCCAACATTGATAATAAATCCTCATATTAGAGTGATTTCTGAAGGATCATGTGACACTGAAGACTGGAGTAATGATGCTTTGATCACAGGAATAAATTACACTTTACTATATATTCACATAGAAAACAGCTTTTTTACATACTAATAATATTTCACAATATTACTGTTTTTTCTGTATTTTTTGTTCAAATAAATGCAGCCTTGGTGAGCATAAGAGACTTCTTTCAAGAACATTAAAAATAGTAATTTTTCCAAACTATATATATATATATGAACATGAATCAGTTTTTTTTTATTAAGTGCATAAATTCTTTGCGATGTCTAGATTTACTCTTCTGAGTCATAATACATAAAGTGACTATGACACATTTAAATTTAGTCTGTGATGGATTTATGTATAATTTCTGCCCTTAATACCAATAAATCCTGCCTTATAATTGTCCAATGCTCTAATTTACTGTCAATCAATTCTAACTATACCAAACGAGTCCTGGGTTTAATCTGAGCACCAGATGGCGACATTCAACCATTAGAAGAGTTGAACATCTCCAGCAGTGATTTCAGTTGAATTCTACATACAGCGGCTCTTCTGTTGAATTATGCAAAATATTATTACAGAGTATGTGAGTACCAATAGAAATATGCCAGACTTAATAGTTTTTACATGAATTTTTTCACACAAATTACCTCGCAATTATAATTAGTATAATATATTACACATCTAAATAATTTTAATATCAATTATTTTAAAAGAATTTATCATGTATGACGTTATTTGAGAATTTAAATTTTCCATCAAAAAATAAAATGTCTGTGACGTAAATTACTGAAATATTTTTTTCTAAACATTTGATTTCATAAATATATATATTTTTAACCGTGGAGATTTATACTTACCTCAAACGAGTGAAATATTTGTATGTAATAATTTTCATTGGCCCGTATAAGGAGTCAAACTCACTGATTGCACGCGACGCGCGTCTATCAAAAGTGCGCCAGTTGGACAGACGCAGAGACGCTCTATCCGCGCCGTGATTGGAGGAAACCGCTGTCCGTCTGCTGATCCTAGCATGTGATTGGCTGAGAGCATCAGAGGGCGGTGTCCTGTGTGTGCGGTCAGTGAAGAGCGCAGGGCGGATCAGCTTGAGGCCGCGACACCAACACACGCGCGGAAAACTCTCGAAAATCAACGAAAGCGGTGAGAATAAACTTTATAAACTCTGATGATAACTGATCTTCATCATTATGTTGATAAGTAAAGAGAGTGACGCGCCAGTGTGCGCGCGCGCTGAGGGCGGTTTCCGCACGCGGGTCAGTGACTGTGTAGAAGTGAGTGAAGTGTCTGTGTGTGTCTCTCTCTGTCAAATGTCTGTAATGTTAAATGTCTCTGTATTTCTACATTGACACACACCCCTCCAAACTTGTTTAAGGGTGTTACAATCAAAGTTGATCTGACATTAAATCAGATTTGATTGATTTAGACGGTTCTACTGTTGAGTTGCTGATCTCAGATCAGTTCAAGGGTGAAACTTTTTAATGTTTTGATTCTGCGTGTGACCTGTGTTGTGTGTTTCTTGGTAAAGTTGTCCTTGACTGTGTGTGTGTGTGTGTGGGTGTGGGTGGCCTGTCAGTGTGACATCATCACTCATAGATTGATATATTTTGTCCAGGACAATTAATTATCCAATATTTCCTTGCTAAAAAATACTTGGAACAGAACATCTGAATTACACACTGGCAAGTTTTGAATACAATACATTTCTATGGTCATCACAGCAAAGGCTCTGTCCATTCTGCTTTCTGGCCATTCAGTTTATCTGTCATAATTCATCCGGTCTGTAAAGTTTGAGCCGAATCATATATATGATCCATCCTGATGGGGATTTAGATGTGACACACATCAGCGGATTACTGGAGACACACACAACCAGACGCATCTGACATATCATGTTGGTATGGCGTTCAGTTTGTGCCAAAAAAGTGTAGCCAGAACATTTGGCAAGGCCTACTGTAATTGCCTTTGATTTGTGTTTGCTTGTTTCATTTCTCTGTCATGTGTTTTATGCTTTATTAGTCACTGCTCTCAGTCAACGTTCTGCAATGCATTTGACAGATATCCAGGTGAACAAACAGAATGTTTTGTCCAGGCGTATTCAAATAAAGTCCGGTCGCTATATTTCCGGACAATTATTTTTTTTTGGAACAGTTATACATTTCCATCGGGGCAGCCGTAGTACTTCGTAAAAGAAAAATCCAAAATACTCATTAAAGATGAGAATCTTTCATCCTGACAGCCAAAACAAAGAATTTTTTACCCATATTTACAAAAAAAACCCCTGAAAATGAATATAAAAAGGTTAGAACAGATGTTTTATATGGCTATTTATTTTGTATTTTTATGTGTTTATAATATTATAATGCGCTTTACACACACCTAAAGCGCTTACAGAGTAAAAGATTCAAAATTGCGCAAATTGAAAATACGCCCAATGGAAACACGTCAATTTCGTGAAAAGTCCCATATATCAAAAAAAAAAAAAATGTTTTTACGCTCGCATGACGAGGTTTTTCAGGCACTTCGAAAAAGGAATATTTCGCAAAACTGCAATGGAAACAGATTTTACGCATTTTCAGGTCACCTGATGTAGATGACAAGACGGAGTTCCTTATTAAACTCATAAAAGAGTATTACGGGAATACTGGATTCTAAACAACAACGAAATGCCACGATTTATCAAGAGCTGGAAGCAGGAATGAGTGAGAAACTCCCAGAAACTCCTCATATGAGCCGCTCCCAGTATAAGGATCTTCCCTTGCCATTAATGTTGGATAACACACACACACACACACGTCTCCTTCCATTAACAGTAATGTCTAGTGCGGTGGCTCTGATATACATAAACCCACCGACATCCGTTGCCATGAAAAATTACATTTCAGTCGCATAACATCGGAATGTGACACAACATTGGAAATGACGCAATGAATCGTTTTTTATCGACATTTAGAAAATAGCGCAAATCTGTAATGGAAACACGGCTATAGAAGGCCTTGGGACTGAGGAAACATACTGGGGGAACTGGGTTTACCTCTTAAGAAAAGTATGGACCATTTTTATAATTTGCTCAATGTAATAAACTACTAAAAACAAACAACATCTATGATCAAAGCTCTCATCATCAATTTTTTTCTTCCAAATTATAACATTGTTTATTATGAAATGCTCATTAATAACGCTAAATGTATGAAAGAAAACGTCTGAAGGCGAAGTCACTTTAAACTGTTAACGATAAAATGGCACAATAAACATCAGTCAAACTCTAGTCGATATTGAGGTGATCCATGAGTCCTTTTGCATGGTTTATGAATTCATTATTTTAATGTGTTTGCTCTAATTCCATCTCACCTGTTCAGTTATCAGGTCAGCTAACCAAGCTCATCTAGTTTTGTTGGTTTATTGCTTCGGTGAAAGTCTCCTGACTTGACTCATGGGTAATTTTATCATCTACACACTGATGTGTTTTATAAATGGTGTTGTTCTCATAAAGTCCATGAGGAAGTGAAAGGAGAAGGGTTTATTTAATATCAGACACTGTTCTAGGGTGTGTGTGTCAGATTGTTTACAAGAAGCAATGGATCATATAGTTCAGTGATTTGATATGGGTGTCTTCTACTAGTGACGGTTTAAATAAGACGTTGTGTGTGTGTGTGTGTGTGTGTCAGGATCGCTGAGTCACAGAATCACCCCACTCTTCCTGACGGACACAGAGAGAGAGAGAGATGGCTGTTAGCGTGTGTGTAACCGGAGCCATTGATCTGCCGGCGTGTGCTTATGTAAACTGTAGGTCACTCTCATCTAGTGCCCCCTATATAGGCAGCATGGTTTCGGATAAATGCCTCTGCCAAATTAATGAACGTACGTGTCCTAATAGATGTTAAAGTTCGACTTTCTCATTTATAGCTGTATGTGGTTTCTCATAGCCTCATCTGCATCTCTTTGTTTCCATGGAAATATGGGTGGAGCTTAGAAGTGTCGTATGAATAATGTATAGTGAAGTGATAGAGGAGTGGTGTTTCCCTGCGACGAGAGAGATACGGCTCGACATCAGCCAGCGTTTGAAATAAACTAATGTTTGATGATCTAAACTAAGGCTGCACGATATTGGGGAAAAAACGGACTTTGCGATATTTTACCGATTTAATTTGTATTGTATATAGTGTCGATTTAAAGCTGCTGTCCGTAACTTTTTTCAAGTTAAAAATAATCCAAAATAATTATTTAAAAAAAAACATATTCAGCCAGTGTTCAAAACTATCTGCTTGCCGTAGCTCGATTCAAAACGGTTAGCTTGTAATAATGATTTTATTTCCAGTGGTACTGGTGGGTTTCCGCGGGAAATTCGAGCATGTCTTTGCGTCATTACGTCACATCCGTACACATAAAGAAGGAGTTTCGGCTAGCTATACTGCGCGTGAGGATGTTGACGTTGGGGAGAGTAGAGATCCCTTTTCTCGCAGCACTTTACATAATTAAACTTATGGCGGATCCAGAAAGATCCAAACGACAATCATCAGTGTCAACTGGAGATTCACCCGTTATAAAACCCAAAAGACTTCGTACTTCGGATTTAAAGTGGCTAGAGAAAGACAGCAACCGTCTCATGTGAACACAAGGAACATAGGCAGGGCGTTTGGTGCGTGAACTCCGTGTTTTGAAGGGGTTCAAAACGGAAGAAGAGACGCTTTTTTCTGCTGGACAAGTAAGACATTTCAATAGTTCAATCGTGTAACAGTACCACACACTAGGGGTGTAACGGTACATGTATTCGTATTGAACCGTTTCGGTTCGAGGCTTCCGGTTCGGTACGCATACAAACCGAACGATTCCTTGGACCATTTTTCTTGCCGACAAAATTCGCGGTGGCGCGATCACCACAACATTGCGCAACATCAAATGGCAAACGTAATGAAAGCGGAACGAAACTGCGCTACTCATTATATTGTGCTTCACGGATCGTTTGACCAGCAACATCTGTGCAGCGCGAGCCGATCTCGATCAAGCGACACTGTCACTACACAGCGCTAAGAGATCCAGTGAAGAAAACATTTGAATTCGCCACTGAAGTAATAACATCGCTGCGAGATCTAGTGAGAAGCATTCACATTTCTCCGTTATTAACCGTAGATCTCTATTAGATCAAACAGCGCTGACGTGGAAACCAGGAGAAACATTGTGCCGTGAATGAACTGTAATGCTTTACGTCCACAGACCAGCAACACTCACCATGGATTTAAAGACCCACTCCGATGAAAATAATGTTTTTCTAGGTGTTAACATGTTCTTGTGGCATTTTTCTTATGTTAGAGGACATATCTTGAGAAAAATAAGCTCAAAGTTGTATTTCTGAGTATTTCTACATTCAAATGGCTGTGAATCAGTAGCAGACGCTAAAATGCCGTTTAAAATAGACTGGAGTTGTGACGTAGTAACTCCACTGGGCGGGGCCACAAGCTTGTTAAAATTAATCGAAAGTGCCCCTCTCAAACAAATATCAATGATAATATTGTTTTCAATAAAACAAAATGCATTTGATTATAATTAACATGACAATGTGACAAAATTCACGTTTACTTGTATGTTTCTGTCGGTTTGAGCTGTGACTCGTTGCTATGGGTTGCGTCACTTGCGTGTCTTGCATCGGACTCGACTGAAGGGGTCAGTCTCCGTTTTCGAGGCCGAGGGTCAGTAATATGGACGGCAGGAGCGCATAATCGTTGCAAAAGTTATGCGTTTTAAAACGAAAACGCACTGTACGGCTGGATAGCTCCAATATTGCTCTCAATTTTTGTTGCACCGGTAATGACAGGTTGGGGGTGTAAGCTAGCGGGAGAGACAGAGCTCTCAGCAACGGGGAGGGGGAGGGTCATCTCCGTGCCAACGGCTCCGCCCACAACGCAGAGGCGAATTGCTAATGAGCTACTGCCGCTCTGCTGAAGCAAAGTCCCAGAAAACGGCACAGGTTTTGTGAGTTTGGCTAAAAATGGCATAATCATAATTTAAAGACCACTGGGAATGTTTACAAATAGCTCAAAATATGATCGGAGTGGGACTTTAATATAGTAGGCTAACACTAACTGTAACCAGTTTGGCTGGAATAGTGAACTGCTTTCAAGTACTTCACACATCTTTTTCCAGCT